CATCAGCCTACCAACTATTTTTGAGAGAGATAATTTCAAGTTCAACAAAGTAAAAGTTGCTTTCAATCAAGGGGCAACAAAAGCAATAATTTTCCCTTTTGTGTGTCCAAGTCTCCCAGAGCAATGCACCTTAGTACTTCTTCTCAAATGTGGAGAAGGAGGATAGGAGCCTGGAGGTGGTTGTCCCACTGTGTGTCCCAGCCTCCAAGGACAGTTCCCCTGCCCACAGCCATTGTACATCCACTCAAATGTGGATCCCTTGGGTAAGGTCTGCATTGAGGAGGTGGTTGTCCCACTGTGTGTCCCAGCCTCCAAGGACAGTTCCCCTGCCCACAACCATTGTACATCCACTCAAATGTGGATCCCTTGGGTAAGGTCTGCATTGAGGAGGTGGTTGTCCCACTGTGTGTCCCAGATTCCAAGGACAGTTCTCCTGCCCACAGCCATTGTACCTCCACTCAAATGTGGATCCCTTGGGTAAGAGTAGGTCTGCATTAGGGAAGTGGTTGTCCCACTGTGTGTCCCAGCCTCCAAGGACAGTTCCCCTGCCCACAGCCATTATACCTCCACTCAAATGTTGATTCCTAGGGTAAGAGTAGGTCTGCATTGGGGAAGTGGTTGTCCCACTGTGTGTCCCAGCTTCCAAGGACAGTTCCTCTGCCCACCACTTTTGCCTTTAAGAAGTTATCCTTTAGGATTACTTTCAAAGTGAACCGATTATTCAGGTGATGGTTTGCTACAATAGTACATAGTTTATTTAAGCACAAGACTCCGGTCTCTACAAGTATCAGTGTATCTGTCCCTCTAGCTATGTCTATCCTGTGAGACTCTGTCACATCTTTTATGCTTGATCTTTATTTACATAACTGATATGCAACCTGCCATGCTGGTATACATCAAATTAAAACTTAATTGCACATGCATTCCAAATAAAGCATGAAATGCAAAGTAATCTTTACCAATATTAAATTTTTGGGGTTAAGTATAGACTTTCACATTTTATGGTTTTTTAAACTGACACTTCTATTTTCTGCATTGATTAATTTCCACTCTATGGTAGAGCCCTTGGGCAGGAGAAACTCTACCCTTAGATAAGGGATGTCCATATCAGTGTACCTTGAGAAGTTAACTCTACACTGTGTTCCTCAGAACCCCTTGGCAGTTCCATGGTCCACCACCTTGCATTTTACTGGGCTAGTTTTTTAAAACCATTTTCTGTAGCCATAGCTGTTATCTTTTATTAATTTTTCATTTTCATATTGCTTTGCAAATTATAAGAAAGTCTTTTTCATCTAGGATCATTATTGAGTTATTTTAGTGAAGAAGACTGGCTAATCCATTTTCTGCATTGATAATAATTTCCACTCTATGGTGGAGCCCTTGGGCAGAAGAATCTCTACCCTTAGATAAGGGATGTCCATATCAGTGCACCATGGCTGTGTTTCTCAGTATCCCTGGGCAGTTCCATGGTCCACCACTTTAACTTTTACTAGGCTATTTTTTTAAACCATTTTCTGTGGCCATGGCTGTTATCTTTTATAATTTTTTCATTATCATATTGCTTTGCAATTTACAAGAAATTTCATCTGAGATCATTATTCAGTTATTTTAGTGAATAAGACTGGCACATCCATTTTCTGCACTGATTAATTTCCGCTCTATGGTGGAGCCCTTGGGCAGGAGAATCTCTGTCCTTAGATAAGGGATGTCCATATCCGTGTACCTTGAGAGGTTAACTTTACATTGTGTGCCCCAGCATCCCTGAGCAGCCATCTTGTTCATCACCTTGCCTTTTACGAGATTTTTTTCTTTTTCAGAATTACTCCCTTAGTGACCATGGCTGTGATCTTTTATTATTCATTCATTATTATTATTATCATTTTTTAATTTACAAGAAAACATCATCATGGATGATCTTGTTATTTTAGTAGAAAATACAGCACAACCTACAGATACTTCCATGTTCTGGCTTGATAAATTCCCACTCTATGGTGGAAACCTTGGGCAGGAGAACCTCTACCCTCAGAAAAGGGACATCCAAATTGGTGTACCTTGATAGATTAACTCCCCACTGGTTGCCCCACACTCTCCCTTGCTCACTACTTTTGCCTTCAGCATATTACCTGAAATATTTTTCCTCATAGTAATCATTTCACCTATGATAGGGTGGTATGGGAAGAATTCTGTGCACATTTTTTTAGTAATATTGGAGTTCAAAATGGCTGCAAACGAAAATGGCAGTGATAAGCATATTCATTTGTTTAGCTAGTTTTCTGACATATTCATTTGTTTAGCTAGTTTTTCACCTGGGATCATTATTGAGTTAATTTAGTGAATAAGACTGGCAGTTCTGTTTTCTGCATTGATAAATTTCCACTCTATGGTTGAGCCCTTGGGCAGAAGAATCTCCACCCTTAGATAAGGAATGTTCATATCAGTGTATCTTGAGAAGTTAACTCTACGCTGTGTGCCTCAGAATCCCTGGGCAGTTCTCCTTGTCCACCACCTTGCCTTTTAAGAGATTTCTTTTTTCAGAATTACACCCTTAGTGACCATGGCTGTGATCTTTTATTATTTATTCATTATTATTATCATTTTGTAATTAACAAGAAAACATCATCATGGTGTTATTTTAGTAGATGATACAGTACGACCTACAGACACTGCCATGTTCTGGCTTGATAAATTTCCACTCTATATCAGAAACCTTGGGCAGGAGAACCTCTACCCTCAGAAAAGGGACATCCAAATCGGTGTACCTTGGTAGATTAACTTCCCACTGGTTGCCCCACGCCCTCCCTTGCTCACTACTTTTGCCTTCTGCATATTACTTGAAATCTTTTTCCTCATAGTAATCATTTCACCTATGATAGGGTGGTATGGGAAGAATTCTGTGCACATTTTTTTAGTAATATTGGAGTTCAAAATGGCTGCAAACGAAAATGGCAGTGATAAGCATATTCATTTGTTTAGCTAGTTTTCTGACCACATTTTTCTCTCCGCATCTACCTTGAGCAATTTTTAAAGAATGTTTTCTACTGTTTATGTACTGGTATAGACCAAGCATCACTCCTGTGACTTTTTTTTTTTTTTAAATTTTTACTTGGTAAAAGCATTTTTCTGATCTATGAGACTGGTGTGAATTTATTTTTCTTCTGTTTGTACAATGTGTTTAAATGAATGCAAATGTATGGTTCCAAGTGTACTGCACCATTATCTCAACCAAGAAATTGTGTTCTTGAATAGATTTGTGTACATTCCATCAGTACATTAAATGAACACTGTATTTACATATATGTCATAGTTCCTTCTTCATGTCATTTTTTGTTTATAAAAATGGCTTCAAATAAAACTCTGAGAGTGAGAGAGAGAATGGGAAGTTCTTAGAAATAAAGATTATCTTGAAATCACATACTAGTTAGTATTGTTTGACATATAAGTCACAAGGTAAAATATAGAATAAAAGTTGTATGAGTGGCCTTGTTCCCTCATGAAGATGCTCTAGACAGACATTGAAATATTGGAGATAAAAATTTCAATATTAGCTCCTTACTGAAGAAAAATTACTTCCTTCTTAGACAAAAATACATCTTTAAAAGTCATAACTTCCCAGCAAAATATATTTATTCACTTCACATAGTCTCCTAATAAACTTATTTTCAAAACATGATTGGACTTGGCTTCTTGAACAACTTAACCCCTAGTTAACTTGAAAACCTCCATTTAAGGACAACTCACTTGTATGGTATTGTTAAAAAAAATAATAAAATGTAACTGCACCCATAATACAATAACAATTAAAATTCCAATTAATAATATTAACAATAGCATGTCATAACATGCTCATAAAGAGCGCTAAATTTTCAGCAGCAAATTTCATAAGAAATAACAGTTGATAACAATAATAACATAAGTACTGTAGTAACTAATTAATAATAACAACAGCATCCCTATACTGACAAATACTGTGCATTTATGAAAACCCTGCATATTAGTCAGTTTGGCATTTAAATGTTTTTAAACTTATGTGTGAAGGTTTACAAGGGTTGTGACCATCACTGCATTAGTGATATAAATAACCTAATAATTTAAATGCTGGTTTAGTGCTATAGATCTATATGTACTGGAAACCATCACTGCATTAGTGATATAGAATAACCTAATAATTTAAATGCTGGTTTAGTGCTATAGATCTATATGTACTGGAAACCATCACTGCATTAGTGATATAAAATAACCTAATAATTTAAATGCTGGTTTAGTGCTATACATCTATATGTACTGGAAAACCAAAAACATTAACATCGCCTTGCCTTATTACTTGGAGTGAAAATGAGGAACATCCAAGAGAGACCAAAGCATAGTTTCACGACTGTGTCAATTCACCTTATCATTGTTTTGTATTCATTTTTATAGGACAAATGAAGAATGGTTGACGTTTTAGTGACATACATTTAATGCTGATGATGTCAGAATTGCAATAATTACACCATAAATCAAAACTATAGCCTCGTGTATACGTGTCTGGTACTACTGTACTATGTAGCAAGCAAGTTATAAACTTACAGTAAATAGGGTATAAGACTGATGCATCTATGAAGATCCACTATAAAGATGTGATATGTAATCCAAGCTTTCGGCCCCTAGGCCTTCTTCAGGGATATTGAAAAAAAATAGACATTTGAAAAAAAAAATGACATCATATAAACTTATTTTCTCCTTCAAGATCTATAGGCGATGTGACATGAATAAACTTATGTGATATATATACTTATACATTCAGCAAAGCAATGTAAAAGCGTTCATTGGCATATGTTTATGTTATTTGAGTTCAATGGAAGACAACTTAATCACAAAATTAAGATAAAATACTAACAGCTTTTAAACTGTCAAAAGTGAATTGTAGCATGTGTAACATGTTTGCAGTTTAACACCACAATTTCGTTAAATTAATAGTACTACATCAAGACATTTCAGCCAGATTAGACTATAACTCTGTTGATAATTTGTCAACATCACTGTGGCACATACAACTTTTAAAGCAGTAAATACTATGATGGGCATCAATGTGTAAATTATATTTCATTTTCACTTCACAAATGACCTGACAACTTGTATGTGCATTGTTTGCATTTTTCTTTCAATCTTCTACTACTTGTAAGAGTTTCAAGTGCAGCTTCCCTTGGTTCCCCACCATTGTATTGCCTGACAAATTCTTTTTTTTTCCTACTTTTCCACATTTTAGGCCACCTAAAATGTTCCCCATTATAATAGCATTCAATATTTTTAACACAGTTACAGTGAACACATGCAAGCACGTTCAGATTTTACCATTAGAATAAACAGGACTTAAAAAATAACTTTTTGAACTTGAGATGCTTTCTGTTTTATCTCTCTCTTTCTTTTGCTTATAGTAAGTAAACCTATAACAAAAAATAAAATTATTTTATAACTATGCCTTTTTTCCAGCCCCCTCTGACTGAAATAAATTATTATTGCACTATGTTGTTTGTTTGTTCTAAAAAGGTACAATATCAAAGGCATAGTAATAACTTCTTAAATTCAAACAATTATTTACTCCATTTTTTTACAGCCCACAAAACATACACTCTTACTGGAATCCAAGAAAAATTGAGGAATCTGTGTATTGGAGTATTATTTAAAAACTTTTTGGAAAAAATGTCCATTTTGTTTGAATTCAGGGAGTATTTACCATAGGCCTATGAATATCATGTTCATTCCAATAATTTAAGGCCATTCACTGCTGTAAGATTTCCTTTCTCATAATAAACTATTTGTAGTTGAACTAAGGGAGAAATCTTTGAAAAAAAAAAAAGGATTGACAGTGTTTGTGGTTTTCTGAACACAAATATTTGTCAAGTTTAATAGAATATTATCAACTTGACTACCATACATAACATTCTCTGCACCCCCCCCCCAAAAAAAAAATTCTTTTTTTAATTAGCTTTTGCATCTGTGCATAATAGAATGGAATGTCAAACATTAAACCCAGCTAAGTTACGAATGCCTGTGTATCACTAATATCATCTAATTTTGTTCAAATTCAATGAGAAATAGAGCTACACTGGGATTTAAAGCATCAGTCATACATAATTTTACGGACTCTAAAACATCCAGTTTGTATGACATTTTAAAGTGCTTCAGAAAAGTATACAGCTTTCAGTCTTGAATTATGATCATCGATCATCTCTTAAACACCTTTAAGCCAGATTTCTATTTTACATTAAACCCTAGTTTATCATATAAATGAATGAAAAGAAATTGATCTAATAAAAGTTGAATATCACAATTGTGAGGCAGCTGTACATAAAGATTAATAAAGCAATGAGTTTAATTTTAAATTTCCAGTCCATGTTTTTCTTTTGATGAAATACTGCTAATTTCATACTTCTAAGACCTAAAACCAAAACTTTTAGCACCATAATAATATCAGTATTCTACACTATGCTCATCTTCATCCAATAAAGGTTTCTCTGATTCATTCTCATAATCCTCAGTGTTTTCATCCAGGTGTATTGCCTTGTTGCCACGGTAATAGTAAAACTGAGAGAATGTCTGAGGACATGATCAAGGAAAGATGTGGAAACTGAACAATGGGCGTTTTCAGAACAAGTTCATCAATGGACCTCCTGGTATGGGGATCAAATACGGCCAACCCCTTTAAAAGCAATGCCGCCAAATCCCTTACCTCCCACTCTTGTCGTCCTAACAACCAAACCTAGGAGTTGAGATTAACTCTGTTTAATTACTAGGCCCCTGCAAAGCTGGGTAGGCGGTGAGACCATAATGGCAGGCCCGTAGCCAGCAATTTCAGAGGGGGGGGGGTTTCGTTTTCTGAAAAAGTGGACCTTTTACTATAAAAGTACAAGTACATAGGTCAAATTTTACCTAGAGTGGACCTTTTCTCAGAAAAAAGGGTGGTTCTTTCGAACCCCGAACCCCCCCTGGCTACGGGCCTGAGGGGATTAGTAGTATTGCTTTCAAGTGGGGTCTACCATATTTGATCCGCAGACCAGTTTGCCTGCAAATCATCTGTTCTGAATACTGCCTTTGATGGGGGGAGATCAACAATGACTGAATGCTTGACCTGAAACAAGTTTAAAAGTGCAAATTATTCTGTTTGACATTGAGAACTCAAAAGAAAGAGAATGTTTAGATTTGAAAATATGAAACATGCAAAAAGAATCCCTTAAAATAATATCAATAACAAAAAAGTTGCAAGATCCCTTTAGCCCCCACCATTCTCAGTTAAATAGATCACACAGTAAAGGGCATGGAAATGTTCTTACTAACATCAATTATAAAACAATATCACTCCAAGGATACAATGATATCAATGAGAATCATGCCATAGCTTCCTACTATCCAGGGTAAGTGTTGGAGTATAAACACTTCCTCCGTGGACTTCACTATTATGCTGCTGCCGTAGGTCAGGTTGCCGCTCACAATCAGGATGAACATGCCTATGTTAACGCCCTCTGTTGACTTACGGCGGAACTGGAAGTAAAAAATATTGGGCCCCAATCAGAATGGATGATCTGAGTGCTTATACCCCTTTACACTGGACGGCTTCCTTTCTGCGACCATGAAATTTGGCATCGCTGTGGTCTTAATAAGGAGACACGAGCATTGATTTTGTATCAGAATGAATCCTCAATGATCGGCCAGTTGTCGGCACGTAAAGTATTATAATTTTTTAACTCTCAAATGGGTCCGTACTGCTGGACACAGAAAGGACGCCGTCCAGTGTAAAGGGGCCTTACTGATCCACCAACTAAATATGGCCGACCAAAGTTCAAAAGCGATGCAATTGGTTCCTGATGGTCTCTCATACTCCACATGCCTTTAAATTTAATGGAATAAATATCTGCTTCAATGCCCGTGCGTGTGGAGACATGAGACTATCAGAAATTGGCAGCATCGCTTTTGAACTATGGTTGACCATATTTAGTAGGCGACTCGGTAGGTACTTGGATCATCCATTCTGAATTGCCATTGAAAGACGTGGAAAAGTGATTATAAATGAAGAAAAAAAAACATAATTTACAAACAATTTACAGTCACCCCAACTTAATGTCCTTCAGTCTGGCTAATTTTTCATAACTGCAGGTCTGAATTTTTCAGCATGTCTGTAAAATCAGGCACTTGTGAAATTCCTTAAAAAATAAAGGTGACGCGCTATATATGGATACTCCAGTAATAACCCATTTTGTCTATATTTTTTCCATTTTTTTCTTTGCCCAATTTGGCAAATGGGCAATTTTTCAGAATTTAGCTATTTAACCTTTTGTTGATGCAAGTTGGGCATATTTCGTCTTAAAGTGATAAAAACTGTTTGTATAAGATTTATATATCACAATAAAAACATTGTAACACATTGAAATATAATAAATTCCATTTTACCACCAAAACAGCACTTATTGCAACTATTCTGTAACCATTGCCTGCCAGCAGACCAGGTGGACTTGCTTAGATGGCTATACATCCATAATAATCCCTTAAGAGCGCATTCTCAACGAATTAAGCCAGGCTTTACAAAGCTGGTGACCTAAAAATGGCGGACATACATGAAAGAAAAACCGCCTAATCTTTTAAGAGTCTCTCCGCCTCCCCACACGTCGTCCCTGCGGGGTACAGTAATTAAATCGCGTCTCTGTTCGCCATGCGGAAGCTACCAGAGAAATATTAAGT